ATATTCTGTACCACGTGACTATTAAAGTCTACCAAGACCCTGTTGCAAAACTACTTCTACAGAAACTACTTTTTGTTATAAACTGATATAATTGATAACTGATATAATGATGGATGATTATACGTGAACGTGTCTTCAGTTTCTATCGTTCTATTCTACGAATATCTTGCATTGGGAAATCTATGCACTAAATGACTAATGCCCGAACTCGACTGTAGAGGTTATGTTCGTTCGTGTATTCTTCCTGGGCATTGTACACAGTCGTTGTTTATTACCACGATATCTCCCGATTGTTTTATGACTAATAGAACGGAAACGTGCGGCGTGAAAGTTTCCAGTAATGGCATTAGTATGCGGCAGTTAGTTATGGAGCTTAGACAGCCTTAATGACCCGATACTAACAAAAGGCAATGGGGTCAATAAGAGATAAAGGAAGATCCTTGTATTTAGGGCAGATGAGTAAATGACGTACGAGTAAATGATGAGTTACAGGAAATAGAGAATATTATGATTGTTTACATATATAATATAATATACAATATAATATATATTGTTGAAATATAGACTAATTGAAATCTTAACAGGTTGAATGCCGTGGGGTCACTGGTGACCCAACCAAATCGAATTACTATGATTCACTTAATTGAACGATGATTATTTAAAAACAAATTCAATCAAGTAATGTAAAAGTACTTTACAATTACATTACATTACATTATATCTAAGTGTCTCATGGAAATAGCTACCTGTAGCATACCCCAAAAAATTAGTCAAGAGGTCAAGATAGTGCCAAGAAAAAGTGTGGTCAATAACGAAGCACAGGGTCAAAGGACAACACATTAAAAAAATAGCAACACCTGTACCTCGTATTCAGAAGACATGGAAATAGCTACCTGTATCACACCCAAAAAATAGTCGAAAGGTCAAGGCCAAGCAATAATTGCTAAAGAAGATTGGACCCCATGCTTCATGCATAGATCTAACCCACACAAAATCTTCAACAAATCTACAAATACTTCCAGAAACATTGACAGGCTCTAACGTGCCAGTACACATAAATTCTCCATAAAATGATAAGACATTCCAGGAAAGACCATCAGTTCCGGCAGCGCCATACATTTCCGGTATGTAGCGCGAGTGTGCTGTCACCACTAATGTTTGCTCGAGATTTGCATACGTCTGTCCGGCCTACCCATTGCTCCGTACACCGATGCATCTCACCTTGTTGTCCGTGGACAGTGTAATACGACCGGTTACCTCAGCACCGGTCTCTATCGGCGCCGCTATTATACAAAGGGCTGAACAAGTGACTCACGGCGCAGGCGTGTGTACCAGGATGATCGCCCATTACCTAGCCGAAATAGGGTATTGTGCTAAGACCGTGTTCCCCGGCGCTATCCGCCTTTCCTGCTCTTCCGCTGGCCAACCGCCTTCGGCCCGGGAACTTACGAAATCTAATCAGCAGGCCACGAAGACAAAGCGGCGCGTTCGGGGCTGCTCGCGACTGGCCGACGATGGGAATTAAGTCCGAACTGTGCTGATGGGGTTTATCGATAGGGGGATGGTGGCTTCGGGATGGTTGGGCGTTCGGTTTTGGTTTTTATGGGGTTTCAATACTTAACACTAGGACTATTGAGTAATTTAACTAGATTTTCTAATTTTTCTATAGAAACTGAAATATTGTGTCCAGTGGCTGGAGGATGGTAGCTTGGAAAAGTTTGGGGGTCGATGGTTCTTGGTATTTATGGGGTTTCGATCTTTACAATAGGACTATCGAGTAATTCGATTAAATATCCTAATTTTCCTATTGAAATTGCAATATTGTGTTATTTTAGATAGATGATTAATAACAAAGTAGTTAGATCGATTCTGAGCTCTGAATTCAGAAAGAAATCATAGGTCAAGGGGTTAAATCGGTTCTGAACTCAGAGTTCAGAGATAAATCATTGGGCAATCGATTCTGAACTCTGAGTTCAGAAAGAAATCATAGAGCAAGGGGTTAAATTGATTCTAAACTCTGAGTTCAAAAAGAAATCATAGGTCAGGGGGTCAACTCCATAATCCAACATCCCCAAATTTCTCATTCCCCATCAAAACATTCAAAATCCCAAACAGTCATTACACAGGTCATCTCCGGTACTCCACAAAGAAACCACAGGTCAATGGGTCATCCCCAAATTCGTCCTCCACCTCGAAATATTTAAGGTGGCGGTTACACAAAATTCCTCTCGGTCCAAATTGAACCGGCTCCATGAATGAATGCGCAATGAAAGCGAACGGGCACAAAGGGGCGAGACAATGGGGTCAGGCGAGGGGGCAGGCGAGTTAAAGAATGGAAGGAAGCGGGCCGCGGCGGAAAGGAAGCTTCGGACAAAGGGGACGCACGACAAGTGGCCTCTCCGCTGAAGATGTTTACGGGCCTGTTACGCGTAAAGTGAGTGGCAAACGCGGTAACTAGTATGCAAACTACGAGTAAACACAATTCTCTTATACACTCTGTGTCTGTGTGTGTGTGTGGACCCTTCCGTCCTGCCGCGTTTGCCGTGGATCGAATCAAGTAATGAAGCCGGCTGCGAGCCGTGGAAAGAAGCTTTCTCGTTGGTTTAATACCTGCCGCCGCGTGTAACCTGCGCCAGGTGGAGGGCCGGCCAGGAATTTTGTAGTTACAACGGCCGGATCCATTTGCATACATCAACCCAGCCGGGGAAACCGAATTTCGCGCAGGAAGGGTCTCGTTGACGGGGTTAGCACCGCACCGACGTCAACAGAATCCATTCACGGATCTCTGATTTTCTCGTTAGCTGTCTCCGCGCCGGCTGCCTGCCGTCCACCGTACAGCCGCTCGAAAAATTAGCCACGGCATCGATCGTAACGCCGTCCAATCGCTGTCTTCGGATCGTACTGGTAATGGAACCTGTCGGAGTGGCTGCTGCGTTTCTGGATCTCGTGTCTTTGGGGAGACTGTTGTTGGGTTGTTGGGGAGTGGGAGGGTTTTGGGTTAGGTTGAGGTGAAGTGAGATTTTTTGGTAATGAGTGTTTTTAATTGACATAAGGGATATTTTAATTAATTGAAAAATAACAATCATTGGGTTCTATATGTATTTCTTAAGTTTCTATTTTTTAGTTCCATTTTTATGGGGTTGTTACATGGAATGGTAAGGGTTTTATGTTAGGTTGAAGTGAATAGCAATTCTTTAGTAATGAATATTTTTAATTAAAATAGGAACCATTGGATTCTACACATTCCTTCCAACAAGTTTCTAGTCTTTTAACTCCATTTTTATTGAGTTGTTACATATAGAATGTTAAGGATTTTAGGTTACTTTCTAATTAGGTTTGGTTTTAATTAAAATAAGAACCTTTGGATTCTACATGTATTTCCCAAGTTTCTAGTTCTTTAATTCCATTTTTATTTGGTTGTTACATATGGAATGTTAAGGGTTTTAGGTTAGGTTTTAATTAAAATAAGGACTACTGTTAATCCTTTAATGATACCTCCAAAGTTTGCTTCAGTCCTGCAGATTTCTCTTTGACAAAGCGACTAAAGTGTTCAAAAATAATGAATTGAGGTTAGGTTAACAAGCAAATCAAGTAAAGACCAAATCTAAAAAAAGAACACCTTCGTTAGCCCCACAATGGTTTCTTAACCCAAAAAACCCATAAACACTAGAACTATCCCATAAAAATATTAAAAATCTGCAATAAAAGATTAAAATAAATTATACAATCAACAAAAAAAATATATAGAATTATACAATTAAAAATTATACAATCAACAAAAAAATTAGCACTCGATCCCCTTAATTTCCTAATAAAAACAAAGAGTATTTAATTAATCAAAATGGAATATTTTAACATTTTTTCCATTCAAATAAAAATATACAAGATTCATTTTCCTTATTCACTCTTTTGAATACTTTTACACACAAAACACGCGGAAGGATCAATTTACGTAAAAACTAAAGTCGTACGAGAATGGACTTTTATATACCATTCAGCTTTTTCCGCTACGGATGTTTTTTATCTCGAACTAAATTCGAGATATAGCGTGACCAAATTCCGTAACTAACCCTGTATACCGTAAAAGCCTATACCGTGTGAGCGGCTTATAGCACGGCCAGCGCTTGACTCACTCGCGGTCACAAAACGTTTATTAACACTTTGACGGTGATATTTTTTATTGTAAAATCTATCATCTACAGCTGGGACTTTTTGGGAAACCCATCTGCCCAGTCTTTACGACGAAATGAACTTGTTGCGTGAAACTATCAAGCCACTGCTGTTTTTTATAGAATATTTTAGAATGTAATATTTATTTAGTATTATTATTAAAAAATGCTGCGACTATGTACATTCTGATGAAGCTTAATATTTTTATTTTATTTTATTTCTCTAGCATTTTTATTCTTGTTAGAAAACTGTAAAATAAGTTCTATTATTAAATGATTACATTATTATAAAATTCATTAACGTATATAAATTAAGCTAAAGTACACTAATCACTATAAAATGTTCACCCAATATTCAATAATACAATCTACAACAATAATTACGTCACTACAAAGACCATCAATTATAATACAAATTCACGTAACTATAGTTCCAATTAATTAACAAATACAGTGAAACATTAATTAAACTTTCAAACATTAATAAAATATTTAAAAAACAAAGTTCTCCATAACACAATAACATATCTGAATTCCCATAAAGAAAAGAATTTCATAAACTCATCCAACTCCAATATCCAAGATATTCGAAATGAGATTACCAATCAAAGCTGCGGTAACGAAGCAGAGACCTAGTCAAGATTTTCCCCAAAACCTGACAAATTCAAAAAAATTCAATTTGCCCGATACACGGAAAAATAAATGTACAAATTTCTGCGATCCGTGCGACACGGCGAATAAAATGTTAAATCGGTGTCTGGCATAATTTTTGATTCCGCCGTTCGGTCGTGTGTCGAATCTTATTCAGTCCGGCGTTTGTTTTACTTGCAGGTAATAAATTCCAGTCGAGCCTCAGCGAAATCGGGAAGTCGGAGCAAAAATCGAGCGACCCAGATAGAAAACGGAATTACAATTGGCCCCCAGACAGCGGTAAGCTCTGTTGCTGTGTGTAACTGTGGACTAATTTAAACGAGGCAGCCTGATCGACGCGACTAACGGCTCCTCTTTCTTATTCTTCGGGCTCGTCCTTTGAAAAAGGAGAATCGATGTCCAACACGATTTTTATTTCAGCCGCTCCTTATACTGCTCCTCGCCATAAATGCGAATAGGAAACGTGCCAGTATAGACGTTTATTTTAAACGATAACAATTTTTATATATTTTTCGTTGTCAA